AAAATCCCCAAATTCAAAAACCATGCCTCCACCTTCGTCCGAAGGCAGCGATGTTGCTACTGTAAAGATGTAGTATTTTTTGTAAGTTTTTGAACTTTTTTATTTTTATATTTAATGTATAAGTATGTTTGATTAACGATTTTAATCACGACAATCATAGTTATTTAATACTTCAAACTGCCTAGCTATGATTTTGTTGACATAATGACAACAATCATGTTTATTTAAGTTTATGTCATAGTTAACGTGCAATTAATAATAAAAAGGACTTACATTATTTTACCTCCTCAAGTTTGGGGTCATTTTTGAAATGGGCCATGGGGTTTTAATTTTGTCAATTTACACCTTAACGTTATAAAATTCAACCAATTTACACATTTCGTCAGTTTTACCATTTGGTTTTCTGTTAAGTGATGACATGGCAAACATAGGGTCCACTATTTTAGCTTAGGTGTAATTAAATATTAGAAATAATGTTTAAAAAAATTAAATTTTTTGAAATATATTTATAATTAAAAAAAAAACCATAGATCTCATTTCTCTCTCTCCTGCCTCACTTCGTCAGAATCTAGCAACCTCTCCTCCTCCCCCATCAGTTGCTCCTCCCTCTCTTTTGGCAACCTCATCCTTCGTATCCACCCTCGCACCGTTTGCCTAACACAACACAATACATAAAACCCAGTCGCAACACCCCATTCTCAGCCTTCAAAATCTTCCTCGCCCTTCTCACAATCACCCCATTCTCACGACTTTGTTGATGGCTGTTGATGTACGGTTGGGCTCAAAATTATATAGTTTATAACATATCCAAAATTGAAGATCATCCAACCATTATAGTGTTCTCTGCCTTCATTTTTCTGAAGCATGTTTATGAATTGATGTTGATGCCTTTGTTGCATGCTTGTTTTCTATGTATGAACGCTTGAATTCCTCTGTATTTCCCAGAATTTGTGAACTAGAAATCGAATTCAGAGGTTGAGCTTCTGGTTTAGGATTCTAGCTGGGTGATAAACAAGAGTCATACAAACTCACTTGGGTAATGCATGCCAAGTGTTTGTCAAAATATCTCAGAGTAGCTTGCTGGCTATTTTTTGAACTTTTGAAATGTTTCTTTTCGAATCTAAGTTGGAGCTTTTGAGACATGAAAATGGAATTCTCAATGGTTGTTGGAATTGGTCTTGTGTCACTTGAAGCAAAAATGAATTTTCGATGGAATTTCAAAGTAAGGGTTAAGCTGCTGGAGTTGTGCAGTTCCTGCTGCATGGGATGTTTCAGGAATCTGTTTGACATGCTTCCCTAACTCTAAATTCAACGAAATTTTGGAAAAATGAGGATTGGTATGTCTAGTTCTAATATGGAAAGTTTGGGATTTGTTGGATGTAAACTTGATTTATAGTGATTTCTAAAGATGGGATGTTCTAGCTAGAATGGTTGGAAAGCTTGTGTATAAGTTTTGCTTGGCATGTTGCTTTTGCTTGAGAATTTGGCATGTCCTTTCTCTTGGCATTGAGTGCTGATCTAGGTTTGCTAGAGCATGTTCTTGAGCAATATTGTCGTGAGAGCGTGATGTTGAATGGTATTGTCGTAAGAGCGTGAGTTCTTCAATTTGCTTGAAATGCCTGAATTGCTTGTAATGCTTGAGTGAAATGAAATTTCTTGGCATGTGGATTGGTATTACACCATGTGAATTTGTCAAATGCTTGATAGATGAATTTGCTTGAGAAAATTATGCTTCCAATGCCTCCCTTTATGTATGAGTACCTTTTCGGCGCCTGATTTTGGCTAACGTATTCTCTTGTTCAGAACCTCCAAAGCATGAGAAATTTAATCTTCTTACTGATTTGTTGGGAACTTGATAGAATAAAGGTGAGTTTTTGGTTATTTTCATTGTGACTTGCAATGTGAAGGCTTATGGAAGATTTGAATTGCTTGACCAGAGACACTTTAGATGAGACAGAGAACAAGCTAGTTGTTGAGGCTGCTTTGAGTTTTCTTTCACATATGTAAGGAGTTTGTTGAATTGTTGAAAGGATAAATTGAGCTTTGGGGGTTAAGGAGCATATACACTAACATGATGTTGGAAATAGGGCAGGGGCTAAGAAGATTTGAAATAAGGCAAGTGCTTGGAGAGTGTTTAAGATATTGAAGATGTGAATAATGTTGAATCACACGGCTCTTAGAACTGAGGTATAGCTTGGTTTAGCATGAGAAACTTTGAAGTGCCTATGCTTGACTCCTTTTTTTTTTCTTCAGATTTTCTTGGCACCAAGCCCCTAAGTATTTTGGAGTTTGCATGTGTAGTTCACTCAATGGCATGAATAATGGATTTGCCTAAGCCCCCAGCCGTCGTGCAAGATCTGGTTTTGCTTGAGAATGGAGATCTAAGACACAAGCAAAAGGCACATGTTAGTAACCCTTACTATGCTTGTTGTGCAAAGTAGATAGCCGACAAAAGGAAAAAAAACAAGAAGAAATAGAGAATGTTCTTATCTCTTTATTTTCTCTGGTGTATTGCTTCTGGTCTTCGACTTTGGAGGTATTGGTGAAGATAGCAGCCTAATCCCCAGTGAAGTCGCCAATTTATGTAGGGGCTTTTTCGTTCTAGCAGCTTGACGAATGGGCCTAGGCTGCTGTAAAGAGCAAATGGCTGGAATCGCCCTTTGTGTCTGAGTTCAAGGATCAGACCCCAAGAGTGCTTCGAAAGGGTAGCTGAGCCTTAGGAAACACCTTGGTCTCCTTCACCAATGAAACTAATAATGACTTACAGATAAATTCTTAGGCTTGGCATGGGAGCTGAGCATTTGTGAGTTTAGCATGAGAGAGAGAAGGCTTGGGTTTCCTATGAGGAACAGAGGCTCGAAGTAAGGGGAAGAGAGAGTTTTTGGGAGGATTTGTTGAGGAGAGAGAGGAAGAAGATGGGGAAGAGGAACGGGTGGCTTGAGCAAGTTTCCGGCAGCTTGACGAAAGTTCTGTCAAGTACTGGAATAGTTCTGCCAAGAGGGAAATGGGGAAGAAGGATGAATAGTGCATGAAATTGCTAGGTTTTGAAGATGAGAGGGAAGCTTGCTCTCTGGATGTGTGTTATGAGAGAGAGAAAGGAAGAAGATGGAAAAACAAAGCATGAAATTGAAGGATTCCAAAGGGGATGCTTGCCTTCGATCGATTCTCATGGTTGCTGGGAGGATTGCAGCAACCAAGGTGAGTTGTTTTGATGGGTAGAAAGTGGCTCCTTTTATGGGCGCTGGAAACCTCAATTTTGTCAAGCCTCCTCCCCCTTTTCTTCACTTTCTTCCACTTAATCTTGTTTAGTGAAATTTCCCTAGCCTGAACACATAGGCACGCAGCTTTTTGGGGTTCCAAGGTCCTCAGGCAGCAGGACTTCTCCATGTGGGTGAGGAGCCACCCACTTTTCCTTCTTGTTTTCTCACCAAAGCTTGTAAAGGAAAGAATGGGTAAGGGTGCTGGTCAAAAGGTGATTCCATCATCACATGGTTTTGCTTGGTTTTGGTGGTTTGGCTTCGATCTGGTTTTAAGAAAGATGCTGGATATTTCCATGATGTTGGATATAAAACGCCGGGCTGTTTTGTTTCCAGCAGCTTGTGAGTTTGCTCAAGCAGCTGGATGTTTTGGCTGATGTGGGATTTTTTCAAGTGTTGTGGGCCTTTTCCTAAGGTGATGGGCTATTGGGTTTTCTCTCTCATGCTTACCCATATGTTTGGCCTCAAGGGCTTGAGTTTTGGTACTCCCAAGCAGCCCAAAACTTCCACTCCTTGGACCATCAATGGGCCTCATGAATACTCATAACCATCCATACCATAACCCGCTCAACAAGCCCCAGGCATTCACGTGGCTTGGGCCCACTTAAGCTTGTAGCGTGGCATGTTGCTTATTTGCTTGGTGTGGTACGTGTACAAGCGCATATGACGAACTCTTGCGTACCCAAGTTAGGTGTCTTGCTGGGCTAGAAATATATTTGGGCCCAGCCTTTGATTTTTTGGGCCATAACAACTATTCTGCTTGGGTATGAAGGATGGGGTTGCTGAGAGAAAGAGAGGAAAAAAAAAAAAGGAACTGATGGGGAAGAAGGAAAGGGCTGCTAAATTCCAACGAAGTGAGAGATGAGAAAGAAAGAGAAGACATAGGTTTTTTTTTTGTCAAAATTTTTAATTTTTAAATATTATTTCTTAATATTTAATTACACCTAAACTAAAAAAGTGGATCCCACATTTTCCACATCATCACTTAACAGAAGACCAAACGGTCAAACTGACGGAAAGTGTAAATTGGTCGAATTTTAAAATGTTAGGGGGTAAATTGACAAAATTAAAACCTCGTAATCCATTTCAAGAATAACCCCAAACCTTGAGGGGGTAAAATGATGTTAACCCTAATAAAAATTAATAATAATGAAACATTGGATTTAACATAATACGTGACACACTCACAGTGATTTCATCCATAAGGTCCTTTCTCTTGACTTGAGGAACGTCACTCTAATAAGCATGATCCTTCCTTTACGAATTAAACGGAATAAATGGAGCCTATTTAAATATATATTATTTGAACCGTCCTTTACGAGTAAATAAAAAGATTAGTCAGTTATTATTTATTTAATTCGTAAAGGAAATTTTTTTAAAAAAATGAATGAATTCACTTAAGTATTTTTTATCAAAAGTATGCCCTCCAATTTTAATTCAACATTTACTCGAATTCATTAAGAAGATATAGACAATGATTTCAACTCACATTAATATATGAGATTGTATGAGATTTTGGGATAAATTGAGTAAAATGGTTTATGCAAGCGACGAGCATATTTGATGGGTTTTGATTCGATACAACTTACAAGCACCTTTTCATTAAAAGCATTTAAAAAAAAAATGAATGAATTCACTTAAATATATTTCATCAAAAGTATGCCCTCCAATTTTAATTCAACATTTACTTGAATTCATTAAGAAGATACAAACAATGATTTTAATTCACATTAACATATGAGATTGTATGAGATTTTGGGATAAATTGAGTAAAATGATTGATACGAGCGAGGAGCCTATTTGATGGGTTTCGATTTGATACAACTTACAAGCACCTTTTCATTAAAACCACGGATAGCTAACCACTTTTGTTGATAGGATATTCAGATAAAACCACTATTCTAGTTAACTGAACATACAAACTAAACATGGAACAGAAATAGTAGGAGCTAGGAGGCACCAAATTTACCATAAAATTGGCATTAAAACCTCAAATTCTCTCTCAAGAATCAAGATGATGATGCTTTGTATGCATGAGGGGCTAGCCTTGTGCGTGGGTGCACCATTAGAGGTGCAGCTCTTTGCAAGGTGAGCCCATATGCTTCGTCCATGTTCAATTTCTCTGGGGTTAGCCCATCAGCCAAGGTCCAGTCAAATGCATGGACCAGGGTTGCAGCCATTAGATGGACCATACGCAAGCCTAGGCTCATCCCAGCACATATTCTGCGCCCAGCACCAAATGGGATCACTTCAAAATCATTCCCTCTAACATCCACATGGGGCTTCTCCCCGCCCGGTAGGAACCTTTCAGGTCGGAACTCAAGTGGGTCCTTCCATTGCTCTGGGTCGCGCGATATGGCCCATACATTGACTAGGAGAGTGGCGCCCTTTGGGATGTGGAAGCCGTTAATTTCGCAATTTTCAGATGCCATGCGAGGCAACGAGAGAGGGGTGGATGGGTGGAGCCGGAAGGTTTCCTTGATCACGGCCTGGAGGTAGGTCAAGTTGGGTAGGTCCAATTCAGTTACAAGCCGGTCTCGGCCCGCGACTTGGTCAAGTTCTTGTTGGACTTGGGCCAGAATCTTGGGGTGGCGAAGGAGTTCTGCTATAGCCCATTCAACTGTGCTTGATGACGTGTCAGTACCGGCTGTGAACATGTTCTGTATGGATGCATTATATTAAAAGTCAATTACATAAGCAAAAAGGCAGACATTTTTTTTTTTGATGAGAAAAAAGGCAGACATTAACATGCCATAAATAAATTAAAGCACAAATCCCTACATCTTGAAGAAAACAAAAAGGTCACTTAACAGGCTAACATGTAAAAATATTGAATGTGAGAGGAGACTCATTCTTTATAAAAGGACCTTTCCTATTTAGGAGCTTTCTCCAACCTGTTTAGGTAATTGCATCATATAAATTACCTTTCCTATTAATGTAATAACAAAACCCAATTGAGCTTTTTTTGTGTGGGTAATTTGAGTTAGTAATTTTATCGACTAGACTGACATATTATTTCCTTTTTTAAATCACAAATAAAAGTGATGAAATATTAAAAAATAAATAAAGAGGGAGAGAGAGATAGACAGAGTGTGTACCAAAAGCAAAGCTTTAATCTCGGTGTCTGTGAGCTGGGCCCCCTCACCGTCAGCATCCTCTTTGAGCGAGAGCAAAGTAGTCAACATGTCCACGTGCTTTCCGCCGCTGCTCTTCTTGTGGTCTTCAACAATGGCGGTCAAGAAGGCATCAAACCTCTTGTGCAGCTTCTTCATCTTCGCCGCCACGCCTTGCAAGTCCAGCCACTCAAGGGCGGGGATAAAGTCACCGATGTTGAACACTCCTGCCAACACCATCATCTCCACAACCATCTCCTTGAACTCGTCCGCCTTCGCGTCGCCGCTGCCGCTGCCGTCAGCAAACAGCTTCTTCCCCACCATCACCCGCCCTAGGGCGTTGACCGTGCATATATTCAGCAGCTGAGCCAAGTTCACTGTCTTTGACCCGGCGCCTGCTAAGCTATGCGCCAGCACAGCTACCTCCTCCTGCGTTACAAAATTATTTGTGTCAATTAATAAAAGGGTTTTTCTCTTAAGCATATGAAAATTGTAAGATGAGTTGAAGTTTTATTCTCTTAAATCTATGCATATTGGCTTGGCTGCAGTAAAATATCGCAATTCTTATGAAGCTGTAAAATTTACAGTGAGGTGAGGTGATTGCACAATAAACCAATTATGTTATTAGCCGAAAATAGCAATATTTTCTCTCCTGAAAGTCCTTTTAAGATTCATGTTTACATCATATCTTCACTTACTTTATATTAATTATTTAATTGTTTATTTAATTAGGTGAGAATGAGATCATGATTCCTATACTCCTCCTAGATATTCAAAGACTGAAGTTCACTTTGATTTGTAGGTAATTAAAAGATCCAATATTATATATATAGCTAGCCTCCATCGATTTTTTGTGTTCAAATCCTGGTCTGAACGGAAAACTGATGAAAAAGAATATGCACATAATTCATAGGGAAGTTGGGTTGACCCATATATATCAGATTATAAAAATACAATGTACTTCAACAAGTTCATATATTCAACTCTGTCTCTTTATGTGACGGTTACCTTTGAATTGAACTTGAATGCCCCTGAAATCAAATCAAATGTACCAGCTTGTTTACAATCACCCACGTCCCAAGTTACTGTGTACCACAGAAGAGCTAGCTACCTACTCACTTGTTCAGATATTTTGCTACCTAATTAAAACTGAGAAAGCAAAACCTACACTTCAAACTTGTCTACATCAACTTGATTAGAAACCTATAATCCGAGCTCTAAATGGTATGTGGTGGCACACTATAATAATGGGTTGGAGATGGTGCTCTCTTGGCTTGGCTTCGTAGACATAGACTCCTCTCTTGTATTCTACCAGCACCAAGAACAAGCTGAATGTATAGAATCAGCCTCTTCCACTTCTTTCAAAACGGCCTTCAACCTATGCTCAAACATCAAACTCCCCCCATATCCAATGCCCATGACTCTCTCTGAGCCTCCCATCCCATCGTAGTGGGCATGCATCTTCTGAGCTAAGTCTTCAACTACACAGCAATTCTCCATTTAGAATTGGGTTCTTCTTACTTCTCCTCTTTGAGAGAATCTCAACTCAACTACCCTCCTTTATTATCTCCTCCTCATTACGCATTCTGATTAAAGCTTCAATTCAACTAGACATAATGATATAAAAACCAAAATATAAAAAAGTCATGTTTCTGATGTTCCAAATTTCACAACTGTATGAATTCTCTTATTACAAATTGGAAAAAACAGAAGACAAGATTAACTAATTTTACCCCATAAAATCCATGGATGATGGATTCAGAATCTTCAACCCCGAAATTCGAAGAGAGAGAAACAAAGAAACACAGGAGCTAACACAAACTGAAACAGAGACATCTCTGCTAACAATTGCGTTTGGCGATTTTGATTTTGATTTCTCTCTGTTTCTTTCTTTTCTTCTTTGTGCAAAATCCGAAACAGAGTCAGGTTGTTTTGACTCTTCTGAATGGAGATATGGAGCTATGGAGCTGGAGACCTTAAACGACAGAGCCATCTGTTTAACTTGTCATATTTCATGGAAGTGTAAAAGTAGCATGTCTTTGAGACAGATATGAATAATCCTTGAAGAGAAATTAAACAAAAGAAAACACAAACTTTCGATTATATAAAACAACCCCATTACAAGGGAACAAGAGGTTAAACACTATTCAAACACTCGGGACCATAGCATTAAGTATAGTTGATTAGGTCCAAAAGAAACTCTCACAAACTCACTGCAGAACACATATATAACACTTTCCTTACAACCCTTTTGCCAAAAGTTGGAGACAAAAAGAAGTTTACTCATCCATGTCATGATCCTCATCCATTTCCTGAATCTTTATTCTCTTAACTGCATGTTCAGCATCAGACCTTGGCCCGTTGGGAAGTTGGATCAATACATCTGACTTTTGCCCCGTGACAGCATTAACAAGCCCTCCATTCTTCTCAACCCGATACACCAACTCGCTTCCTGTTGGCCCTGCATCTATATACACAGTTGAGTTCTCATCAATCTCTTCTCTCACCAGCATTCTTGACAACTCTGTCACCACCCTCTTCTCAAGCCATCTCCTGATTGGTCTAGCACCATAAACCTGGAAATTGGAAGAATGAAATAATCGTTTAGTATTTCATGCAAAAGTAGAGCAGACCATAAATTTGGATTTGCAAAATACAATTCGGCGCAGAGATACTCACTGGATCATAACTCTCATCCAGAATATAATCCAATGCTGCATCAGTCACTGCCAAAGCAATTCCCCTCTCAGCCAGTCTGACTGCAACATCCTTCATTTGCAACCTAGCAACCTTCCTCAGTTGGTCACGTGAAAGAGGATCGAACACAACAATCTCATCAAGTCGATTCAGCAACTCAGGCCTAAAGTGCCTTTTCACCTGTCCAAGTACCAAAACTCAAATTAAGTACCGTACCAAACAAGCAATTCTATAAGCATGCCAAATCACCGTTAGGGATCACTGAAGATACCTCTTGCATAACTCGATCACGAGCATCTTGCATTGTACAGTTGCCCATTAAACCAGATAAGAGATGCTCTGCTCCCAGGTTTGAAGTCATAATAATCACCGTATTCCTGAAGTCAACAGTACGACCTTGGCCATCAGTTAACCTTCCATCATCCAACACTTGCAAGAGAGTATTGAAAACAGCTGTGTGTGCTTTCTCCACTTCATCAAACAATAAGACACTGTAAGGCCTCCGCCTCACGGCCTCTGTGAGTTGCCCACCTTCCTCATGACCAACATACCTGTAAAATGTTAATGAGTCAGATTTTATAACGCTAAATTCAGGAAACATACGTATGAATAAAAATTGCAAATGCACTTACCCAGGTGGAGCACCAATTAAGCGTGAAACAGAGTGCTGCTCCATGTACTCAGACATGTCAATTCTCACAATCAGATTTTCATCATCAAAGAGTTGCTCAGCAAGAGCCTTTGCAAGCTCAGTTTTACCGACCCCAGTTGGACCCAAGAAAAGGAATGAACCAGTTGGCTGTTGGGGTCTTCCTAGGCCAGCTCTTGACCTCAAAACAGCCTCTGCAACAGCATCAACTGCCTGGTTTTGCCCCACTACTCTCTTATGCAACCTCTCAGCAAGCCCAATTAACCTATCTTTATCATTCTGGCCAAGCCTTGTGACAGGTATGCCTGTCCAGCGACTTACAACCTCTGCAATTTGGTCCGGTCCAACCGTCTCTGTCAGTATCAGATTTTCATCGGTACTACCTTCAAGTTTTGCAATAGAAGATTCCACATCCTGAATAGCCCCATACCGCAAGTCAGCAACCCTGGCTAAATCATATCTTCTTTCAGCCTCTGCTAAAGCGATTAAGAGCTCTTCGCGCTTTTGCTTAAGCCTTCGAAGCTCGTCAATCCTTTCCTTCTCCTTTCTATACTTCATCATCAGGGGCTGAAGCTTGTCTCTCAAGTCATCAAGCTCTTTTCGCACCTGTGAATTAAATGTTAGAGCCAACAGAAGAACAAGAACAACTTCTCTAAAAACAGAATCTGCAACTTAGGGGAAGAAAAACATTCTCTAATAATAGATTGGAGGTCTAGCACTCACTTCAACCAGACGAGCTTTGCTAGCCTTGTCCTTTTCTTTCTCAAGTGCATGAAGCTCAACTTCCAGCTGCATTCTCTTTCTTTCGAGGTTATCAATTTCTTCAGGTTGACTATCAAGCTGGACTCTCACATTTGCACAGGCTTCGTCAACTAGATCAATTGCCTTGTCAGGGAGATGGCGCCCTATACATAAAAAGAAAAGAGAAATTCAATGCCAAGAAAATTTAAGCAACACGGCCAGAGCTTCAGTTTATATAAATGTAAAACAAGAAACTATACATCCATTAGCTAATTGAGTCCATACCTGTGATGTATCGACTTGAAAGCTGTGCAGCAACAACCAGAGCTCTGTCCAGAATTCGCACACCATGGTGACCTTCATATCTCTCTTTTAACCCTCGAAGGATACTAATTGTGTCTGGAACGCTGGGCTCAGCCACATAAACCTGTTGGAACCTTCTCTCAAATGCAGCATCCTTCTCCACATATTTTCTGTACTCCTCAAGAGTTGTTGCACCAATGCACCTGAGCTGACCTCTAGCAAGCATTGGCTTCAAGAGGTTGGCTGCATCCATCGACCCCTCTGTTCTACCAGCACCAAGAACAAGGTGAATTTCATCAATGAACAGAATCACCTTCCCCTCAGCCTCTTCCACTTCCTTCAAAACAGCCTTCAACCTCTCCTCAAACTCTCCTCTATACTTTGCCCCCGCCACCAAAGCACCCATGTCCAATGCTATGAGCCTCACATCCGCTAGATTACTAGGAACATCTCCTCTCAGTATCCTCTGAGCCAAGCCTTCAACCACAGCAGTTTTTCCAACTCCTGGCTCTCCAATTAGAACTGGGTTGTTCTTAGTCCTCCTTGAGAGAATCCGAACCACCCTCCTTATCTCCTCATCTCGGCCAATAACCGGGTCAAGCTTCTCAGCCTCCTCAACAAGATCTCGTCCATAAGTCTTCAATGCCTGAAAAGTGGTGTCCCCATGGGCATTGTCCACCTTCTTTCCCTCCCCACGAAGCTTTTCGACTTCCGATTTCACTCTGGCCGGGGCAATGCCAGCTTCTTTCAACAAATCCCCAATCTGGGAATCCTCAAGAAGCCCAATAATCAACTGATCAACAGCCAAGTGAGTGTCCCCTTTTGCCTTCTGCGCTGCCTGAGCTCTTCGAATCACTTTGATGAGAGTAGTGCTGGCTGGGATTTCTTCCGGGGGAGGGGACTGAGATGGAAGCTTCTTGAGCGCCTGATTGAACACTCTCTCCACGGCCCGTGGAGCCTCTGCATTGCCACTAGCGTTGGCAATTGCTTGCCTGAAAATGCCATCAGGATCAGAAATCAACGCGGATGCAAGGTGGAGTGGAGTGAATTGCGCATGGCCGGCATCCGTAGCCAGCTCATGAGCCCCGGAAAG